TGCTGCTGGCCACTGGTGGTTGGGTAGCCGCATGCCACGTAACAGTTTGCGCATGCTGTTCTGCAGAGTCCTGTTCATTCTTTCTGCAACACCTTGCTGCTGATGTGCGTAGGGAAGGGAGAGGAGTTGCTTGATCCCCCTTTCCGCCAGGTACTGCTTGAAGCGCTGAGAGGTGTACTCGCCACCTCCGTCTGACTGGAAGCTTTTTAGCTGCGTTCCTGATTCTCTCTCTGCTATCGGTAGCCAGGCGGCGAACGCTGCGAGTGCCATGTCGCGGCTGGGTAGGTTGCGATGCCAGACGTATCGAGTGGCGGCGTCGATGAAGGTAATCGTGTAATTATAGGTCACTTGACCTGGTTCTCGATTGTAGAGGATATCGTTGTAGACCTTTTCGAGTGGTGCGTATGCAGGTGCGCTCGGGTTGTGGTGAGAAGAAAATGATCGATGTGGTAAGTCTTCTTCGGGGCAGATGAGGCAAGTTCCTCGTGCCCGTTGGAGTTCTCTGCCGTCGAGTAGTAGGAGCGAGTCTTTGTCTAACACTCCTGCTCGTATCGTATTGTTTAATACCGTGTTGCTTGGATGTCCTGTGCGTGCGTGCCAAATTTCTTCGGAGGCACGGTGTCCGGGTGATCGTTGATATGCGTCGGAGTTGGAGTAAAAACTGGCGACGAAGTTGGCGTTGCGGTGGATTTCTTGTTGAGTCGGGTTCAGCTGTTGTGCGGGTGTTGGCGGTGCTTCGTCGACGATGACTGGTGTCGTTGTTCCTGCTGCTGCCGATGTTGTTGCTACTGCCGATGTTGTTTCTGCTGCTGCCGATGTTGTTTCTGCTGCTGCCGATGTTGTCTCTGCTGCTGCCGATGTTGTTTCTGCTGCTGCCGATGTTGTCTCTGCTGTTGTCGATTGTTGAATTGTTGCTAATGCTCGTGTTCGCTCTGCTTCAGGGATGGTGTGTGAGTACCAGAAGCCTCCGGGGCTGAAGTCGGGATCGAGATCCGGAGGGTGTGTCTAGTCGGTAAAATTGACGATGGCGTCGCTGTCTGCAGTGCCCAGGTCGGGGACGAAGTCAAGAACGAAAACGTTGTTCTTCAGTACTGCTTTCCCGATGTAGAGACCGCCTCTCCCGTGGTATAACTTGAACTCCTGGGTGGTGCTGTCGGCTTCCAGGTGAATCCCCTTCGCCATCAGCTGGCTAACACTCAGTAAGTTGTAACCGAGTCCTTCTGCGATGAGTACTTTCGACATGTGTAGTATGACGTTGGTTTCTCTTGATTGAAGCTGAACGACTCCTTGTCGTCTTGTGCGCAGGTTCTGGTTGTTGGCGACCGTGATGACTACTTCTCGCTGGAGTCGATGTTCGCGTTGTACGAAGCGCCCGGAGGAGCACATGTGTTGCCCGCAGCAACTATCCAGGAACCAAGTGTCTTGGCCGGACGGTTCGCTTTGAGCGATTGCGGCGTACGTTGGATTCGGCTGGAGTGATTCGCGGCGAGGCGTCCTGTTGTCAAGTTCTTCTTCCGGTGAGTAGTGCGGTGGTGATTCGGTTGTGCACGAGTCGTTTATCTTCACCATGCAGTTGACGATGCTTCTTGTTCCTTGTGCAGGTTGTCCAGTTGAAGTCGTTGAAGTTTGGATCGTGGTCGTCGGACTTGCTTGCGTTGAAGCAACTTGGGAGCTTGAAGGCCGCAGTTGTCGCCGTGGTGTCGTCTGACGAGACGGGCAATGCGTGCGAGGATGGCCCGAGGTCTTGCAGATGTGGCAGAACGGAGGTACCGTTTTCACTTGCTGTTGTCGATTGTTGTTGCCGTTGTGTCGACGCTGAGTGTGAAAAGCAAATTCTGGTGCTAATGTTTTCTTCTTGTGTCTTTCTTCTTGCAGGTCCATGTCCTGTTGCTCAGCATGAATTTCGGCGCAGAGTGCCGCTTCGGAGATCCTCCCGTGTGCTCGTAATATGGCGCGAGTGGAGCGCCAGTGGGGGCCGAGACCGCCGATGACCACCGTGACAAAGGCGTCTTCTGAAATTGACCCGCCGCATCGAAGAAGCTTGTCGCGCAGTTCGCGGCAGCGGCTGATATAAGCCATGCCTTTCTCGCCTGGTTTCATTTCAATCGTTGTAAACTACGCCATTAACCTGCTTTGGTTTACGCTGTCTGTTGCTTGATACAGGTTCTTCAGGTGGTTGTACGCGAGCTCCGCGGAGTTGCCGTAGCCTCGGTAAGTCCTGATGTTCTGCTGCTGGGTTGGGGTGATGTTCCTCAGCAGAATCGTGTACGCCATCATCGATTGATATGTATATTGCTGCTTCTCATATTGTGTCCCGTTTGTTGGATATGGCAGGGACCCGTCGAAGAAGCCGAGAATCTGTGCTCCTTCCATCATCAGTTCAAACTCGAACGACCAGGTGAAGAAATCTTTGCCGTCGAAAGGCTTCGTCGTTTGTAGTTTTAGGACGTGTGCGAATTGCGATTGGACTTGTAACGCATCCAATGTCCTTTCTTGTCCCGATGCAGGTTGCGGTTGCGGCATGAAGCTGACGGAGCCACGTTGAGGCTCGTACGGCGCAAAGGTAGGCTGCTGTTGTTGTTGTTGAATCCCGCGTGCGTTGGATGAGCCGTCGAGACTCATCGGAGTAACGTTGTTGTTGTTGCTGTTATTTGACTGCGCAGGCACTCCTTGCTGGTGTTGCTCGTAGAAGGACATGAAGGAGAAAAATTTCTCCATCATGTTTGGATCGAAGCCTGCGGGTGTTTCCGTGGACCCAGCTGCTGGTCTTGCGGTAGTGCCTTCCTCTGTCTGTAGACCAGAGGTAGGAGGTGGAGTAGGAGTAGTGCCTGGAGAGCCGTTGGAGGAGCTCCTTTCCTTTCTTGCAGACATGTCTAGTTTCTTTGTATTGAGTGTTGAGAGAAAAAATAGCCTTTATACTCTAACTGCTCTCATACCATGTTGGGCTGAAAAGCCCTAGGATCTTTGTAGAGTTTAAGGACTGAGTAGGATTGTAATAGCGGAAGCGTTGAAGTAAGGAATGATTGAACCACCTTGCACTGGTATGTGAGAGCAAAGTAAAGTTGAATTAAACAAGCAAATACAAGGTTTATATAAGAGTACAGGGAATACGAATAGATAGATTTAAACCGTTTTACTGTTGCGATTCGATACAGTGCGACTCGGGCAACTGCTCAATGTCGAGTCAGTTGTGTGTCCTTGCTGTCGCGCTGTAATTGTCGAGTCAAAGGTCGCTGACCTTTGACTTTCCTGTAACCTCCAGGCGGTTACCCTAACCTCCGAGGGTTGACTCGCGATGCTTCGATTCGGACTGCTTCGCTAGCGTCCTGAGTTTCGACACGACAGAGGCGCTTAAGACTTATTGTTCCCAACAAAAGGAAAGAGTGCGCAGAACTCAATAATGCGGAAGTGATTACAACGTCTGAATGAACAACGATGCCTAGGCACAATATAGCAAGGTTAGCTAGGCCGAGGTCACAGGGTCGCGAGATGGTTAGGTGCAGGTTCGGGGTTGGAAAACCCGAAAGCGACGCGGTGGTGGCTCGGAAGGCGAGGTCAGCGGGCCGAGCCTGGTTTTCCGAAAGTCGGAGTTGTACGCGTACAGTGTGACCCAGTAAGGAATCCGGAGAATTCCTTACAAAACAGCCTTCCTTGAAGAACTCTTACAGAACCTAATTCAATAAAATATAAAGATAGAATCTGAGGTGTAGTTTCCGATTGAAGACAGAATCGTCATAAAGACGCCACCAATCGTTGTTACTACCCGGCTCACCCGCATATACGGATTGCTCCGTGCGGATCTGTTTCCTCGTCCGTGTCTTCCCCCGCAGACATTCTGTCTGCTGACCTTGTGAGCTGGTGCGTCCCTTCCCGGCATATTGTGCTTCTGTTTTGTTTCATAGATTCTATACGTGTGATTCACAATTGCGCTGCTGTCCACCATTCGGACACACCCGAGAGTAGTTTATCCCAGAACCGCAATCTAGGGATCTAACATAGGGGATGTCAGATGTGAGTCTCAGCTGTCGCAGCAGCATCGAGTAACTCGCGCGTTTCTTCGCCTCTCACGGACCTCTTTTAATTCACTAAAGGCGTTTAAAGCTTGTGAAATAGTAGAGATTCTTAGACCATGTCTGGTCTTGGCGTTTTAGCGCGGCGGCTTTCAGGCAGAAGGGCCCGCCAATGCCTCGGACACACGTGGCAGGGCTCAGCTTGTCAAATTGGTTGTACGCGTGGCTCTTTAGGGTTGGATAGTCCAGTCAGCATAAACGGTGACAGCAGCATTTGTAACAAAGTCACAAGGCAAACAGATAGAAGCAACAGCAGCAGCGCCCTTGTGGTTACCAGCAGTAACATCCCTGTGCTTACAAGCAGCTTGAGTACGGACACACAAATGTTGACCAACAATGCAGCCTGGGCCACAGCTGATGTGGCCGTGACCACATTTGACGTGGCCAACTGCAGTAAAGAACCTTGTCGCCATCAACCCTGGGCTTTGGCAAATTCCATGCCGCTCAGCAAGCCTGGTCACTGGGCTGTTGCCGAACCTCTTAGTTCGGCAGGCCATGTAGGCACAGCAGGCTCGGCAGCTGCTTCGGTTCAACTGCATGGCTTGGTTCGGAATGGGACAATCGCAGTTGGTGGCGATGGAATCCGAACGAGCGGCATTTATGGCGGGCTCTCTGTTGCTAGATTCAGCTCAGCGAAAGGTGAGATAGGTTGGGTTGTATTCACATGTGGTGTAATTCATTCAGCCACGTCATGAAGCTGAATTGATGTAGCAATGATCCGTTATTACGTTCAGAAGTGCCACGTCAGCATGTATTCCCTAGAAAGGGGAATGGATGTGTGGTGATACTTTGGCCTGCCTCTGTGTGCATGCACATGCACTGATCATGCATGCGCCCATTTATTTGCTGATAATGCGTGCGCTGATGATCTTTCAGGTTGACGCACTGGCAAGGCAGCAGCAGTGCAGCACACGAGGGGCGAGGAGAGGGATGAAGACCCATTGCTTATTGTCCCTGTCACTGCATCTGCACTTGATCCGTGCAGGTCGGCGCACTGGCAAGGCAGCAGCAGTGCAGCAGGCGAGGGACGGAAAGGCAGGGAGAGGGGGGAAGGCGGAGGAGAAGAGTGAGGAGGACTTAGTCACAAGGAAGCAGCAGCTGCTGGAGCAAGCCGTTCAGGAGGTATGATGGTGGTGTGAGGAGGTATGGTGATGAGTAGGTATGGTGGTGCGGAGGTATGGTGAGGAGGTAGGTATGGTGAGGAGGTATGGTGGTAACCTGATTTCGAGAATTCTTGCAACAGCAGCAGCAGCTGCTGGAGCAAGTCGTTCAGGAGGTATGGTGGTGTGAGAAGGTATGAGGTGGGAGGAGGTATTGTAGTGTGAGGAGGTATGGTGAGGAGGAAAGGCAGGGAGAGGAGGGAAGGTGGAGGAGAAGATTGAGAAGGACCTAGTCACAAGGAAGCAGCAGCTGCTGGAGCAAGCCGTTCAGGAGGTATGATGGTGGTGTGAGGAGGTAAGGTTTGGTGGAATGAGGAAGTTTGAGGTGTGAGGAGGTATGATGGAGTGAGGAGGTGTGAGGTGTGAGGAGGTATGGTGGAGCGAGGAGGTGTGGTGGAGTGAGCAGATATGGTCGTGCAAGCAGGTATACTGGTGTGAGAAGTAACGGAGGTGAGGAGGTGTGGTGGTGTGAGCAGATATGGTGCAAGACCATGCTATTCCACCGTCTCCTCTTCCCCACGTTCTCCTTCCCCTTCTCACCTTCCTCACACTCTCCTCCGCATTTTCTCCCTTCCTCTCACTCACCACCAGGACTGCTTTTTGCATTCCTCCCTCGCCCCACTCGCCCCTTCAGCTGCGAGCCAAGTCTCTCCAGGAGGCAGTTATGGTTCTGGGCGGCACTGATGCTGAGCTAGTCGCTCACCCCCCTTGTTTTGTCTCCCCCCACCCCACCCCACACACCTCTGCAGCTGCGAGCCAAGTTTGGGCGGGAGGCAGTGATGGTTCTGGGCGGCACTGAGGCTGACGCTCCTTCCCCACACGCTTTCCCATGCTCTCAACCCTTTCCCACCCTTCCCACGCACCCCTACAGCTGCGAGCCAAGTTTGGGCGGGAGGCAGTGATGGTTCTGGGCGGCACTGAGGCGGACTTGGCCGCCCACCGCGTCCCAGTCATCCCCTCAGGCTCCATCGCCCTAGATTCCGCCCTCGGGATTGGGGGCTTCCCTCGGGTGAGTCACGAGTTTGTGGGTGGGCACTGGGCAATGCACTGCATGCTCCAGGTGAATCTTGTTGCAATCAAACACTCACCGAAGCACCAATGCTGACCTGACCTTGCACCGCGTCCCGGTCATTCCCTCGCGCTCCATTGCCCTGGACTCCGCCCTTGGGATTGGGGGCTTCCCTTGGGTGAGTGTGTGTGCGGGCAACGCATGCGTGCTGTACATGCCTCCTACTGCAAGCAGTCAACTTTTGAGTCGACCCAAAAGTCAACATGCGTGCTGTACATGCCTCCTACTGCAAGCAGTCAGACACGTACTGAACCACCAATACCAACATGGCAGCCTGCTGCGTCCCGGTCATCTCCTCAGGCAGGCTCCATTGCCCTGGATGCCGCCCCTGGGATTGGAGGATTCCCTCGGGTGAGTTTTTCTATGAGTACAATGCAAGTTTTAGGAGAATTCTGTTGGCAATCAGGCACTCACTGAAGCACAGAACAGATGCGTCCCACCAGAGCTCGAGTGCTTCCCTCTGGATGCTGACCTCTGCATGCTGCCTTTTCGAGACGTCTCAAAACTCTTCTTTTTTCACCAGCCATCTTCTCGGATTGCAGCCGCACGCCGGTGCTTCGCGTGCTGCCTTTTCTTTTCGTATTCTTCGGTCAAGCCTTTTTCCATCAACAGTCGTTCGTTCTGTGGTGCCTTATTCTTTCTCTTCTACACGCACTCACCCCTCACACGCTCTTCCGCTTCTCGCCGTCCCTTTCCTCACCAGCCATTTGCAGCTGGCGCTTTTTCCAGAACAGTTACCCTTTTTTTTGTGTTGTGGCAGCTCAACTTATGTATTCCTCGTACACGCCGTTCTTCTCTTTGCAAGCCTGCTTTCGCTAAAGATTAGACGCTTGCTTGGCAAACACTTTTGAGAATTCTCAAAAGTGATTTCAAGATTAGACGCTTGCTTGGCGAACTCGCACCGAAGGAGCAGAGGGGGGACGTAGGATTAGGAGTAGCAGCTCAGCTACGTCCCCCCTCTGCTCCTTCGGAGGAGTAGCAGCTCAGCTAAAGAGTTGACATTACGCAACCTCCGAAGGCCCCGCACCATGCCTTTTTCTGTTATTTCCCTCTGTCACTCCATGCCTCTGTACCTTGGGCGTCCCCCGGGGCCGAGTGGTGGAGATCTATGGGCCCGAGGCAATGGGCAAGACTACCCTGGCACTGTTTTGAGACGTCTCAAAAGTCAACACATGCTTTCTTTTTTTCTCCCCTGGCATTTATTCGCCTGTCACTCTGTGCCTCTGTGCCTCTGTACCTTGGGCGTCCCCCAGGGCCGAGTGGTGGAGATCTATGGGCCCGAGGCAACAGGCAAGACAACCCTGGCGCTACATGTGGTGGCAGAGGCTCAGAAGAGAGGAGGTGAGAGAAGGGGAGTGGGTATGTGTTCTCACGCGTGTGTAGTGCTGGCAACATTGTGATTTTTTCGATTTCTCAAGAGGTTGTGGCGAAGGGCAACAGGCAAGACAACCCTGGCGCTACATGTGGTGGCAGAGGCTCAGAAGAGAGGAGGTGAGAGTGGGGAAGGAGAGGGGGAATGGGGGGGAGGGAGGGGACGGGGGGGTGAGTTGTGCTCGTGCATAGTGTTGGCAACATGTGACTGCTTGTATCGAAGGCAGCAGGCAGAGGCGCAGAAGCGAGGAGGTGAGTGGGGAGGGGATAGAGGGGAAGAGAGGGGGGTGTTGGCAACATTGTGACTGCTTGTGGCGAAGGCAACATGCAACACAACACTGGCGCCGCATGTGGTGGCAGCAGAGGCGTAGAGGAGAGGAGAGGAGTGTGAGTGGGGGAGGGAGGGGGGCAAAAGCAGGGGGCGCTGGGGGTGGACAGTGGACAGACATGACTCGCATTCACCTGGTGGATCAGAACGTCAGGAGTGGTGCCTATGACGTCATTGTGGTGGACAGCGTGAGTGGAACAAGGTTCCGATTTTCAGGTTTAGGGTCGGGTATGGGGTTTCAAGTTTAAGGCTCTGGGGGTGGAGTGGACATGACTCGCATGCACCTGTCCCACCTGATAGTGGCGAGACGGGCCTGGCTCTTGTGGATCAAAACTGGGAGGAAAGGGCTCGATGGATATGAAGGCACATGCTGTTTTAGTTTTTTTTTTTCCGCAACGAATTCTTGACAAGAAAAATATTATTCGACGTGTCAAATCTGAATTCTTGCTTTGCTCCCATTAAGGAAGAGCGAGATGCTGCGTTAAAGCTGCAGTGGGAGGGTGGAGAAGTTGAATGCACAGTTGGAGAGTTCGAGGGAGAGGTGGAGGATGGAAGAGGAAGAAATGAGGGCTGAAATTGAAGAAATGAAGAGCAAATGGGAGGAGGCAAAAGAGGACTTGCTCCGCGCACCGCTGCCCTGCAGTGCTGAGCAAGTGGAGTCGTCTTTTGCCTCCTCTTTCTGCTCCTCCCATTTGCTCTTCATTTCTTCAATTTCAGCCCTCATTTCTTCTTCCTCCAGCCTCCACCTCTCCCTCGAACTCTCCAGCTGCGCATTCAACTTCCCCACCTCCCACTGCTTCTTTAACGCAGCATCTTGCTCTTCCTGAATGGGGGCAAAGCAAGAATTTCAGATTTGACACGTCGAGCTAACATTTTTCTTGTCAAGAATTTGTTGCGGAAAAAAAGACAAACAAACAAACAAACAAACAAAGCAGCATGGGCCTTCATATCCATCGAGCCCTTTCCTTTCGTGATTGTGGTGATAGTGCGAGTGCTTTCGAGTTGTGGGCTTCAGGATTACGGTTTACGAACAGTGGGGAGACAGGACTTGCTCCGGTGGATCAGAACGTTAGGAGTGGCGCCTATGACGTGATTGTGGTTGATAGTGTGAGTGGCGTAGGGATCTGGGAAATAGGTTTTCGGAGTGGATATGACTCGCATCACCTGTCTCAGCCTGACAGTGGCGAGACAGGGTTGGCTCTTGTGGATCAGAACGTCAGGAGCGGTGCTTATGACGTCATTGTGGTTGATAGTGTGAGTGGTGGGGAGGAGCTTTAGGTGTTAAATGTCATGGCAAGGTTTAAGGTTCTGTCTTCTACCCTTCTTCTTTCCCCCCTTCTCTTCAATCATCAATTCTCCCTTGTTCTTACGACAGCTGACAGAACTTGTACTGCACGCGGGAGCTGGAGGGAGAGATGGGAAACTCTTTCATAGCCCTGCAAGCGCGCATGATGTCTCATTTTCCTCACTTGTCCCCTCTTGCCCCTCCATGCTCCACTTTCCCCTCCATGCTCCACTTGCCCCTCCATGCTCCACTTTCCCCTCCATGCTCCACTTGCCCCTCCATGCTCCACTTTCCCCTCCATGCTCCACTTTTCCCTCCATGCTCCACTTTCCCCCATATTGCTTGTGCAACACAGGTGGCAGCGCTGGTGCCCCAAGCGGAGCTGGAAGGAGAGATGGGGGACTCCTTCATAGCCCTGCAGGCGCGCATGATGTCTCAGGCGCTGAGGAAGCTGTCAGGGGCGCTCAACCGCTCGCAGGCAGTGCTCATCTTCGTCAATCAGGTGGGTACAGTGCGGTTGGAATGGTAAGTGGGTGGGTGCAGTGCGCTCGAAGCTCATGATGGGAGGGCCGGGGATGGGCATGGCATGGTGGTGGAGGTGACGTCTGGAGGCATTGCTCCTCCCTTCCCTCTTCCCCGTGTCTCGCTGTCCACATGCAGGTGCGATCGAAGCTCATGATGGGAGGGCCGGGGATGGGCATGGCATGGTGGTGGAGGTGACGTCTGGGGGGAGTGCTCCTTCCCTAAACTCCTTCGCTCCTCCCTCCGCTCTCCCCTGTTCATGTTCAGGTGCGGTCGAAGCTCATGATGGGAGGGCCAGGCATGGGCATGCCGGTGGAGGTGACGTCGGGGGGGAATGCGCTCAAGTTCTATGCGTCGCTGCGACTGCACATTAAGAGAGTGGCGCAGCTGAAGCAGGGAGAAAAGGTGGGTTCAGCGCTCCTCTGTACCCCTCTGCACCCTAACTCACCCCTCAGCACCACTCAGCACCATCAAGCACTCCACAGCATTTACTCGAGAGGGTGACGTAGATGAAGCAGGGAGAAAAGGTGCATTTATCAACTCCCAATCACCCCTCAGCATCCCACAGCACCTTGCAGCACCCCACAGCACCTTGCAGCTCCCCACAGCACCCTACAGCACTCAGGCATGGCATCTCTTTAGTGAGTGGCACACACTGGGACGATGCTCTCAAGTTCTATGCGTCTCTGCAGCTGTACATTGAGAGAGTGGCACAGCTGAAGCAGGGAGAAAAGGTGGGAAATCTCAAGCACCCCTCGGCACCCTGCAGCACCACAGAACAGTGCACCCTAAGGCAGTCAGGTTCTCTGCGTTGCTGCGGCTGCACATTAAGAGAGTGGCGCAGCTGAAGCTGGGAGGAGAGCTGGGTCCAGCGCCCCTCTGTACCCCGCTGCATCCCACAACATCCCATAACACCCCTCAGCACCTTACAGCCCCACTCAGCACTCTACAGCACTCAGGTGTGACATTGAGATAAGCCAGCACTCACCACTCTATCAGAAAGGATAACGCCTAGACCTGCGGATGAGAAAAAAATCGCTCACACTCACTCCTCCTTTCCTTGCTCCCATCCTCTCGCTACCCCGTCCCCTCCCACTTTCCTTCTCCCCCCCTTCCCCCCTCCTGCTAACCCATCCTCACCTCTCCGCCTCAGATTGTTGGTAACCGCATGCGTGTAACGGTGAACAAGAACAAGCTCGCGCCGCCCTTCCGCACGGCAGAGTTCAGTACTGAGTTTGGTCACTGGACATATCCCAGGAGGGGGAACTGTTGGAGCTGGGAGTAAAGATGGCCTTCTCACTCTCACTCCTCATTTCCCGTTTACCGCCATTCCCTCCCGTTCTCTCCTCGCTTCCCCCACACCCCTACCCCCCTCCCCTGCTAACCTATCCTCACCTCTTCGTTGTAGATTGTTGGTAACCGCGTGCGCGTAACGGTGAACAAGAACAAGCTTGCGCCGCCCTTCCGCACGGCAGAGTTTGACATTGAGTTTGGCCACGGGATATCCCGGGAGGGGGAACTCCTAGACTTGGAGATGAGTGAGGGCCTGCTCACACTTACTTCTCCTCCCTCCCTTCTCCCATGCTCCTTCTACCTCCGTCTCCCCCCATTCTCTCCTCCCTTCCCGCTCCCCCCGCTTCTCCCCTGCTACCCCATCATCCCGTTCTCTGCCTCAGATTGTTGGTAACCGCGTGCGCGTAACTGTGAACAAGAACAAGCTTGCGCCGCCCTTCCGCACGGCAGAATTCGACATTGAGTTTGGCCACGGGATATCCCGGGAGGGGGAACTCCTGGATTTGGGGGTGAAAGAAGGCTTGCTTACGCTGTCTGGTGCGTGGTACAAAAAGGATGGTGAAGTGATCGGGCAGGGGAAGGAAGGCGCGAGGAACTTTCTTAAGGAGAACGTGGAGGTTGCGAGGGAGATTGAGGAGGGGATTAGGGAGAGGCTGGGTGGACGGAGGAGAGAGGTCGATGGGGAGGGTAAGAAGGGGGGAGTGGAGGGAGGGAAAGGTGTGGAAAGTGGAGAGGGAGGGAAAGAGGAGGGAAGTGAGGAGGAGAGTGAGGGAGAAGAGATTAGTTTGGAAGTTGTTGACAGCAGTGTTGTCACTGGAGTGTCCGGTTAACTACAGCATGTTATTTTTGGGCCGTCTCAAAAATGAATTGTGTGCATGCGTGTCAAATGTTATAATATCTTGTTAGGCTACAGTGAGTAGCACTGTAGGGAGTACAACACATTTATAGGGTTGCTATTTGTACTGCTTGCATCCCTAATGCACACTTTCCTCTACACACCCTAAACACGTAATGTGTTAGTAAGTGTAGTGGAATTTAGTGTATCAGTAGGGAATATTATTTTCCTTCATGTTATTGGCTCAAAATAACCATAAACATCAGCGGATACATGTCAGTTAGGTGCATCGTGCATGAGACCAACAATTTACATTACAAGAAGGTGCAACCCACATAAAGATGAAATCACTTCAGCTACATATAAGAAAGTAGAAAGATCGAATGTACCTCCATCCGACATATGCATCTGCTACCCAAGTTGATATCCAGGTGACTGGTCGTGGTCAGTAGCAGGCCTGTCGAAGTTTCTGGGGCTCGTACTTGCGCTCCCCAGCTCCTCCGCATCTGACCCTTGGTTGGGTGTAGGTGTGCGTTTTGGCGCCCTTAACGGTCACGGGCGCACCCCAAAGTGAAAACTTGAAATCCGGGCATATTTGAAGTTTACACTTACACTGTATTTTACTGTGATACGTGCAGTTTTCAACTTATATTAGATGTCAGTCATACCTAATACTACACATGTCTTCAATGGTCATAAAACCTACCTTGCCTGCAATGTTCTACTTTTCACTAACTACAGATTTAGCATGCAGATTTAACTACCCTACTCTAATGCAAGCCTATTTGGCAGGCTTCCTCCCCTTCCTCCCCTTCTCCTCAAACAAGGCATAGGCCGCTGCCCAGTCCACTGGGTAGTCTAGCATCTTCACCGTCATCAGCTCCCCTAGCCTAACATCAGTAAGAGCAACACGATCCCACGACTTAATAATGTTTTGGCAGGAGAAGCCCCTCTCACACTCAACAGTGCTGAGGGGCAACACAGAGACTGCACGCCAGAGGGAGACTATGGTGGGATAGTCATCCTTCCAGTCTGCCGTGCGCAGCATGTTGGTGAGAGCCTGATGGAAGCTCTGCTTCTTGAACTTCTTCTCCATGGTGGCTGTGAAGAGGCGCATCTGCGGCTCTATGTTAGCAAGAGCGACTCCTGCCAAGGACATATACAACAAGGTTAGAACATGCCAATGCTGGAGAAAACCATATTCAAGGTTAGAACATAAACAAGGTTAGAACCTTTACAAGGTTCCTACTCTACCCCTCTCGTCTTACCAGGTAGCTTGTTCTTGAACATGTCAAGGAGCTCGGAGAGATGGAGCTTCACCCACGCGTCCTGCTCTCCTGCACGGTCAGGATACTTATCAGGGGAGAAAAAACCAACACCATTGAAATGACGCAGATCCGCCATCCTCTTCCCCAGCGCCTTAATCAGGCGCTGAGCGAAAGGCCTCGCCAGGTCCATGCAGGCCTCCAAGTCGCATCCCCCCCCAGGGTTTTCAGGGTCGATGATGTCCTCGTGAAGCTCGATCTCGGCTTTTGCATGCTTTCCGTTCTCGTCCACTCCCTTGAGCTCCATCTTGCGCTTGTCCTTGCTGCCGTGTGCAGCAAGGAACTTGTTCAGGCGAGAGGTGTTCGGCCCGTTGGATGCGCCGGGTTCGACGTAGTACTGCGACAGCTTGGTCTTCACCTTGTCGACATGGTTCTTCACCTCTGTAATGTCGACCTGAAAGCAAACAGAGCGCGAAAAAATTAGAGCAAAGCACACATGTCAAGAAGCGACAACGCCATGCTCATTTGCACCTTACCATCTGCTTCTGGAAAGACGGATTGAGTCCGTTGAGCAGCGCACGCACGTCAGCCAGGAGATACAGCATGTAGTGGAACTTGAAGCTGGTAGCGAGTTTCTCCGTCTCGCCCTTCTCCTTCGTCCACATCCACATCAGCACCGGCAGCACGTCACAGAAGCGACTCACAGCATCCTCGCGAGACAACCAACAGACGGTGCAGAAGCCTTGCACCTCCAGGTGCGTCTGCAGAATGTCGTCCTGGAGATGCATGTAGGTCTTGTGATCGGTCGATGAACGCCCGAGACGCTCTGTAGTCTGGCATATCATATGATCTACGACGTTGAACTCCTTGAAGCTCTTCGCGGCATCCTTGGCAGCCAATGCCTCGCCGCACAAGCACGAGACGTGCGTGAGTATGGTTGGGGAGGGGACAGGTGTACAATACGATCGGAAGCAGTGCAGTGCAACCTTACCGATGCACCGCGCAGTGAATCGCCACCAACCACGGGCAACGTTTCCGAAGCATGGCGACAACGCCGTTCTTCGCGCCAGTCATCACGGATGCACCATCCGTTGACACCCCGACAAGCTTGTCCAGCGACATGTCCTTCGACCACAGACACTTCACGATCGTGTCGTGCAGTGCTGCAGCGTCGCAACGTTCGAGTGACAGGAGAGCAAGAAACTTGGACACCACGGCCTCGGCTCTCTCAAACGTGACATACACGATGAGATGCTTTCCACGCACACGATCCGTGGATTCATCGAAGGAGAGGCTGTACCAGGCCGACTCTTTCATGTCCTCGAGCTGCTTGGCCACCAGATGCTCCGCCATAGCCTTTACGAACTCGCCGAAGGCGTATCTACAATGAGCACCGAATGAAAATGGGAGTAAGTTATCCACAACAGAACAGCAGAAGTAGAACAAAGCAGAAGCATACGAACAGAAGCAAAAGCAGGAAATCAGGAGCAGAAACAGAGGCTAACAAGCACGTACCGCGAGTAATAACGACCGTACGATTCGTTGGTCATCATGTCGGGGCATCCTTGCTCCGCCATGAACCGCACCAGCATGGGGTAGAGCGCGATAGGTGAATCGTTCCGCGCAATTGAGTGAGCTCCTTGCATGCATTTGATGGCCCCCGCCATGACAGGATCGTTGCTGAGCATATTCAAGAGGCTGCGCTGCCTCACCTCCGTGCCTTCAGAGAGTCGTTCATGAGAAAACAAAAACGAGAATGAATGAACTATGAACGAACTGAGTACAAGTACTAACCCTAATTGGGTTGCACCCCTTATGGGCTACCCCACTATAGCCTACACAATAAGCACAAGCTATATGTTCTGACACACCCCCATAGGCAAAGTGGGGGAGAACAAGGGGTCACAAGACCAGTCAAGCAAAGCAAAGCAAAGCAAGCTCAGGGTGGATCACAAAGTCACCACACATTCTGAGCACAAGTTCAAGGACACAAGGCCAGTTCACATGCAGGAGTACATATATATAAAGGACTAGACAAGCAAGAGCAGGTGTATATATATGCAACAGTACAAGCAAGGTCAAGAGGTGAGCAAGTGAGGCAAGACAGGCACAAGACCCAACTGCGTGCACAAGCGCTGATGATCACAAGGCGCAAGTGCCTTGGTGAAGACATCAGCAGTGTTGGCCTCAGAGGCCACGTACGAAAACCGCAACTGACCACGCTGCTGTAGCTCACGAGCAAGGAAGTAGCGAAGAGCAATGTGCTTTGTTCTGTGCTCCAGTCTCTGCTCTCGACACAAGGCCAGCATGGCCTTTTTGTCTACGTACAGGACTGGAGGAGAACGAGGTGACTCTCCAAGGTCGGTCAGCAGCTAGGTGAGCCAGCGAAGCTCCTGCGCAGCCATGGCCCCGGCATAGATCTCAGCCTCACAACTGGAGCCGAGAACAGAAGACGAGCGAGTAGCTCGCCACGAAACACAGCCGGAACCAAGGCTGAAGGTGTAACCCTGTGACGACCGCTGCGTAGCCTGGTCGTCAGCCCAAGAAGCGTCTGCGTGCCCAGTGAGGACCACTAGACTCTGCCCTCCAAGCACTAGCCCCATGCCTGACGTACTGCACAAGTAGCGGAACACCCTCTTCGCTGCAGCCATGTGCTCCGGTCTGTGTCTCCTAGGAGCAACATAGCGTGCGAGAATGCTAAGAGGGCATGCAAGGTCAGGTCGTGAGCAGGTCATCAGGTACATGAGGCAGCCAACAAGCTCTGGATACGGGCCACTCGACTCTACGGACTCATCCGAAGGCAGAGCTGAGAGCGAGTGACGAGTAGGCAAAGGAGTGGCCTGAGGCGAGGAGTACGTGAAGCCGAAGCGCTGAAGGACCTGCTGCACCATGTGTGACTGAGTCAGGGTAATGGTGCGGCGTGCTCTGTCCTGGGTGATCTGCAAGCCAAGGTAGCTGCGCAGCTCACCCAGGTCTGTGCATGTGAGATTACGACGGCTTATGCCAGCTATGCTTGCTTACCTTTATTTTGTTATGCTATTTGTAGCATAGGATAATTATATGCATGCATGAATTGCTTGATTTCCTAGGCTAGGTGCTTTCCTATATTTTATTATAGTTATAGCACCGAGCTAGGTTGCGTGCACCGAATTCTGGCTTTTCGGTTGCCACCGAATTGCCATCTACCGAATTCGGTAAGGATTTGTTCGGGACGCTTCGCGACCCGCGGAACCTTCGCGTAACACCTGGTTACGGGGCCTTGTGTCGAGCCTATATAGAGCCTCGTGTTGTACCCAGGTGGACATTCAATTCAATTCAATTCGACTCAATTCTCATTCTCTTTTCTGAACTCGATCCTTGATCCTCACAGTGCACGTGTGTCTCTTCTGCAGCTCGGAATTCACGTAGGCGAGTCCAGCAGTGTCAGCTGTGGCAAAGACCAAGTCGTCGACGTACACGAGGATGTAGAACGGCGGCAGAGAGGTGTCGGTGCGCAGAAACAGCGACGGGTCGGCACTAGAAGGAGCAAACCCAAGAGCCGCAAGCGTAGTCCTCAGTGTGTCGTGCCACTCACGTGGCGCCTGGCGGAGACCGTAGACTGGACGCCGGAGACTCCACTGGGTACCAGGAGGGAAAGACCCAGTGAAGCCAGGTGGGCGGCGCAGCCAGATCTCCTCGTGCAGGCTGCCCTGCAAGAAAGCTGTGCTGAAGTCGAGAGAGTGCAGCTCATAGTCACGGTGAGCAGCAACGTGCAGCAGTACCCGAAGAGTGGTCATCTTCAGGGTGGGAGAGAAGGTCTGAAAGTAGTCAACTCCCTGCCGCTGACTGAAGCCACGAGCCACGTAACGCGCCTTGAAGACAGGCGGAGAACCCGGCGGCCGCTTCACCCTGAAGATCCACATGCCATTGACGATGTTCGCCCCAGGAGGGGGGACAGCGTCAACGTAGGTGCCTGTGGACTTCCAGGAAGCCATCTCTGCATCCATAGCTGCCTGCCACTGAGAAGAGTAGGGACCCTCTATCGCCTCCGCGTAAGAGCGCGGAGTCGGGATGTCAAGTGCATCAAGGTCTCCCTCAGGGGTAAGTAGTACGGACACGAGATGAGGTGAAGCAGCGGCCAAGCACTGGAACTCCTCCTGCCTGTCCTCAAGGACGTCCGTGCCAAGGGTACACTCACCCCCGAAGGACGGAGGACAGACAGACTCAGACTCAGCAACAAGACCAGCAGCGTAGTCTAGACGACAGTGAGCAGCAAAGTCGACGAGCTCAACAACTAGGGCACACGCAGAAGTGGACTCAAAGAAAGGCTCAGTGACAACAGTAGCAAGGAGACGCGTGACAGTAGGACTGGCAGCACGAAGAGAGTCCGACTCCGGGTCGACAAGAGCAGGAAGAGAAGACTCAGGAGGAGAAGGCAAAGGGGCACGCAGAGGAGCAGTGGACGGACGTAGAGACATCCGGTGCGTGCTAGGGACAGGAGGAGGACGCTGACGTGAACCACGACCACTAGCGCGAGCAGTACGGACAGGCGACGCAGGGCGAGACGCAGGCTCAAGACGCTCAGCAAGACCTCCAGTAGGACCAGTGTAGGGAGACGGAGCAGGCAGTGGGGAGGCCGGCTGTAACCGTAACTGTGACTGGACAGGCTGTGGACACTCTAGAGGAGGAGGAGGACCAGTAGAAGGCGGGAGACCAAGAACCTGCTGAAGGAGCAGAACGAAGTACGGCCGAGGCCGCGCGGCGACTCCAGACACAGCAGGGACAGCACCAGTACCCCAAGCGGAAGCACCAATACCAGCAGCACCTCCAGCTCCTGTACCTCCAGCAGCACCAGGAGCACCCTCAGCAGGACCGCCTCCAGGACCGACAGCAGTAGCCTCTGCGCCAACACCCGAAGCAGCTCCCGCTCCAGAAGTACCCGCAGGCCCAGCAGCTCCAGTACTCCGAGTACGAGCACCTCCGCGACCCGCGGCACCAGCACCCACAGCAGCAGCAGAACCTCCAGTACCCGCAGCACCTCCAGCTCCAGCAGCTCGCCTCCAGCGCCGGGCAAACCACTCACGCAACTCCTGTGGAGAGAGTGGCTCCCGGCGAGACGAAGCACCCGGAGAACCGCCAGGCTCAGCACCGCCAGACGCCCCACGAGCAGGCCCAGCTCCCTCAGGCTCAGCACCTCTAGGCGTAGCACCCCCAGGCTCAGTACCCCCAGGCTCAGCACCCCCAAGGGTAGCACCCCTAGGCTCAGCACCCCCAGGCTCAGCACCCCCAGGCTCAGCACCCCCAGTCCTAGTACCCTCAGGCTCAGCACCCCCAGGCGTAGCACCCACACGCTCAGCACCCCCAGAGTCAGCACCCCCAGAGTCAGCACCCCCAGGCTCAGCACCCTCAGCAGCACCAGCGTCACCAGTGACCTCGACAGGCTCGACAGCGTCTACCTGGGACACACCTGAAGGGGCAGGACCCTGAGGGGGGAGGGGGTCTACTGGGGGGGGGACCTGGCACAAGGAAGAGCGGTGGTGGGGGGAGGGACGGAGTGCGGTAGGGGAAGAGACGGTAGTAGGGGACCGACTCGTCGAACGTGACGTCCTGGGAGGACAGAACACGGCGAGAGGTGGGGTGGTAGAACTGCCACCCTTGCGCGTCAGGGGGGAAACCCAGGAAGACGCAAGGAGCAGCCAAGGGGACAGCTTGTCCGCAGACAAGTCGCGAACAAACGCCCGAGATCCCCAGACACGGAACGCAGACGCATCGCCAAGCTTCCCCGTCCACAGCAAGGCTGGGGAGGTCTCCGACATGGAGACCCTGGGGTGAAGGTTGATCTGATGCGCCGCGTACCGGACCGCAAACGGCCACAGAAAATGGGGGGCGACGTCCATGACCATGCCAATGCGGCGCTCAGCAATCCCATTTTGCTGTGGAGAGTCCGGAAGCGTGAAGGTCTGGCGGATGCCTCGTGCACGATAGTAGGCTCGCAGAAGGCCAGAGGAAAACTCTCCGCCTCTGTCAGAGTGCAGACGCAGAACAGGAAAGTCCGAGCCGAAGCTCCGCCTGAGCTGGAGACGAGCTGCGCGGATCCTGTCGATCAACACCTCAGTGACATCACCCTTGCTGCGCAAGGGGAAGACTGTGGTGTAACGCGAGTAGTCGTCAACCACCAGCAGGAAGTAGCGCTCGTGACCTTGTCCGCGGACGCGGGCCGGGCCCCACACGTCCATGTGAAGCGTCTGCAGCGGGGCCTCTGTCGGAGGAAACTGGGAGGAGTGAGGGGCAGCACGCTGCCGCCCCTCGACACAGGGGACGCAGGTAGGGCCAGGCCCGGGAGGAAGGGAAGGGAGGGACCGGGGAAGACCAGAGACAAGGACACGGGAGGCCATGCTTCGGAGACGAAGCAGGGAGGGGTGACCAAGGCGGTGGTGCCAGAGGAGAGTCTCGTGAGACAGGTGGCGACACGAGCAGGGGGCAGACTTAGGACCAGACCTGGACGCCGCAGCAAACACCTCACCCGATGCAGCTATCTGACCAGACGCAGTGACTGGAGGAGACACAGTGGTAAGTGTGTACAGTCTCGACCCCGGCCGACGAGTAAACGTGGCCAGGTGTCGGCCTGTCCGAGCGTTCGTGCAGTGGGTCACCCGCTGACTCGCAAGAGTGAACTGGTGAAGCCCCGCATCCTGCAGGTCAGCACCAC